TACATGTTATTATACCTTGTCGTTGTGTGACTGACAGCTGACCATCTGTAAAACCATAATTAATTGAACGAACAACAAAATTACCTAAATATTTCCAAAAAGTCTTAAAAAATTCTGAAGTAAAACCGTCAGACCCAGGACTTTTATTATTTTTCATGTCTTTCAATGTTTTCCCTGCTTCCCCCAATGTTATTCTACCCTCTAAACTGCTAGACTCCACATCATTTAACTTTGGAATATTACAGTCACGAAGATGAACATCTAAATCAGTATTGTCAACATCCCTATGTCTATATAAGTCTGCATAAAATGATTGTACTTCTTCTAAAATATTTTTCTGCTTTGTAATAATTTCATTGTTCTCTTTCTGAATTTGTGGAATAACTTTGGAAATAAAGTTTCTGTTTTCCAAATTAAAAAAATAAGATGTAGGTTTCTCTCCTTCTTCTATCCATTTTGCTCTTGATCTAATAATACTACCTCTGATTTTTTTCAAACGTATACATTCTAGCTCTCTTTTCTTATCTCCTAATTCTTCCTGGTCTGGGTTAATACTATCTTCTAAAATTTCTATAATTTTCTTAAGGTCTTCTTCTTTCAAGTTCTGTTGCTTTTTCCTGTAAGATGCGTAAGCTATAGATTTGCCTCTAATTTCCATTAACAATGTTTCTAAAAATAGTTGATCATTAATTAAAAACTGAATATCACTATTGGGAATAAGTGATAATGAGTTAAAAGTATACACTGGAAGACAATATTGTAACTTAATGTTCTCGATGCAATTTTTTACCATATCTAAATATTCATGTTCCAGTAATAAAGTTATATGTATTACTACTCAAGTATATAGTTAGGTATTGTATCGAGTCCATATATATCAAACCCTCATATCACCAGCGGTACTCTTTAAACTATCATTCGGGTAAGTCATTACTTAGCAATCAAATCGTGGTTCGGAAAGTGTGGATGTACAGATATACGTCAATATATTTCTTTGACGACTTATAGGTGAATACATTGTTATTCTTACCTGAAGCGCATGTTTTGAACCGAAATATGACCCAGCATACAATGCAGCGCCTGAAAACACCAAACATTTATTTACTCCAGACAGGATGCAAACTTGGTATTCTAAAGAATGAGTTGGTTTTGTCGTTCACATCGATGATTCACGTGAAAGTATTAGATCGTTAAATAAACTACGTCATCCACGAGTATGAAGGGGTATTGAACGTCAAGCTACCGAGGTAGAAGCTAACCGTATACGTATATTACCTATCCCGTATTGAACAACAAGCCACCACATATACGTAGGAAACATACTGTTATTAGGACTATTTATGTGATCTCTAGGAGTCACTTACACTAGAACAAGTGATTGTTGTCGAATTGGGAATGTCAAAGACATTTGGTGCATTGTAAAAGTTTTATAGATCAGAGATCAATTTTAAAAGAAACATACTTTTACAAGATTATTTTAACTTATCAAACGATAACGATATCAAACTTATCCCTACGCAAACTGCATGCATACATTTGGTTGGAATAACAATACTATCCAGTTGAAGTTAGGTTTCATAAACTAACCCAGTTTTCCAGCCACACTGCTGGTAACAACAATATGACCCTCGTTCCTGGACATCATATGGGGCAGAACGGCTCGTGTTAAGGATACTGGTCCTAACACATTGACCGCTAACAACTCCTGGTCTACAGCCAGACATGTAGATGTCCACTTTCCCTTGTTAGTGCGCCCAGCGTTGTTGATTAATATGTCTATCTGAAATAGTGAGGAAAAAACCGATTCTATTTGCGTATGTATTTACAAAACTCCAACGCAAAACGAACAGATCTATACCATTACGATAAAAAACATTTCAAGACATTTTCTTTACATATAAAATAACACAAGTTATCATGCTCTAAGTATTACACTAATGGGCACTGATATATTGTTACGCTTGTTATAACGACGGCCTAATTTTGCAACTTCTTCCCTTCACAGGGCTCTGCCATGATTTATATATTTGTTTTTATAATTACATGCATTCATGTATGACCAATTAGTATCCATAATTGATCAGTATAAGTTGTCAACTAAGCAAATCGTACCACTAGATGTAGCTATTGGGTGGACGTTGTCACTGTAAACATGCATAGCTTACTGTGGTTAAATCGTAAAGACTTTGATGTGGAGGTAATGCACATCAAACGTACATAAGAAGTTATTTCATTCATAAATATGTATGTGATAAAAGTTAGCATAAGGCTTTATCACATATAAATGATCTTTCCTCCATTAATTAAATAAAGAAGTTATTCCATAACTCAGTAACGCACCAATAGTCTTTACAGCAACTTAACTAGGTCACATAGGATTTTAAAGTGTACATACATAGTATTATTAGGGCCCCGTATCGGAGATAGTAATCACTCTGTCTGTCTGTCTGTCCGTCCACAAATTTTGTTCCTGGCTGATAACTTTAGTATTTATTGACCGATGTACATAAAACTTGGTCAAGATGTTCAGTTCACAAAAATACACATTGAGGTAAAAATTCAAGGTCAAAGGTTAAGGTCATTAGGTTCAAAGGTCAAGGTCAAATTTTACATCTTTTCACTGATGAACATTTTGTTATGATATTATGAAGCAAAGTCGATCAGAATTAAACAAGGAGTCAACTTACCAAAGGTCAAATTCATCAGGTCAGGGGTCAAGGTCAAAATTTTGTAGCTTTTCACTGGTGAACATTTCGCTATTACATTATGAAGCGAAGTTGTTCGGAATTAAACAAAGAGGCACACTGAGGTAAAAAGTCGAGGTCAAAGGTCAAGGTAAAATTTTGCATCTTTTCACTGATGAACATTTTGTTATGACATGATGAAGCAAAGTTGATCAGATTTAAACAAGGAATCAACTGACCAAATGTCAAGGTCATTGGGTCAAAGGTCAAGGTTAAATTTTGTATCTTTTCACTGGTGAACATTTCGCTATGACACTTTGGAGCAATGTTGCTCAGAAATAAACAAGGAGTCAATTGACCAAAGTTCAAGGTCACTGGGTCAAAGGTGAATGTTAAATTTGTATCTTTTCCCTGATGAACATTTTGTTATGTTATTATGAAGAAATGTTGTTCAGAACTTCACACAGAGTCAACTGACCTTAGGTCCAGGTCCCGGGTTCAAAGGGTCAAGGTCAAGTTTTGAATTTTTTACTGATTAACATTTTGTTATGATATTAAGAAGCAATGTTGGTCGGAATTAAAGAATAAGTCAACTGACCAAAGATCAGGTTCACTGGGTTAATGATTGGTCAAGGTCATTTGGGTCTTAAGGTCAAAGACAAAGTGGATCTCTGACTTTGACCCTGGCTCTTCATGGATGAGGTATATAAGGTGAAATAAAACAAATCAAAGCTAACAAATGAGTATCGCACCGGTATTTACATTTCAGTTAGCTCAGCAAATATGGAGGTGGAAGGAAACAAGACTCACATCATAGTTCATGTAAAATGTATATTTTGCTTCCTTGCGATTCTTTTTGAAGTCCAAATGTCAAACATCAAGCTTAGCTATATGGGCAGATTGCTTCCTGATGATTATGGGGGATATATTGCCACAAGATGGGGCCCTTACTGACCTGTCAGTGTTCTAGTTATTCTGAAAAATTATGTTAAGTTGTATATATATATATACATTCCTTTCCCTAGTTTAGGTAGAGTGCCGTCAATGCAGTGTGATCAGCAGTTTTGTTTACAACGAGTTACATTCTTGCACTAACTCCATATCAGATTTTGACTGTATATTAACAGATTCCACGAGTGTTTCGAAATGTACAATATACAAATGTCATTTAGCTGAATGCATTTGTCAGTTGAAAAAACCAACTGATAGAGGCAATTTATATGATGAGTTCATAACGACACATGGATCATCTTGCGTGTAGCACTTAATTTTTCGAAAAAGCTTTATTTTGTACATCATCGCACGCCAAAACCGAAGGTGTTGCGCGGAATCTTAATTAATGTCAAGAAAGTTTGACCTCACGAAATTTCATCATACCCACATTCCACCGCAGTATGTTAATGAATTTCAACTGACAATATCAAATTCAACAACAAATTCCTAAATGTAGTGTAGTATATAGAAATACTTCATTAATTATATGATGATTTAAAAAAAAAATGTAAGTGATAAAGTACAACTAATTGAAGATAAATGTTCAAATGGGAAGCAACTAACACTGTTTGTAGAGTAATCAGTTTTAAGCTATTTCGGAATTTGAATTTGAAAGCAAAGACTGCAGCAATAAATGAAACTGTTCCCGTTTTACATCGAAAAGCTAATCCTTAAGTTTAACAAGTACCCCTGTTGATCACAAGTTTGATCTTTAGTGACTTGAGTGTATGATGACGACACAGAATGTCAGTTTGTTGCATTGTTATATCACGTGCGGTGATTAGAAGCTTATTGTAATACAAAACTTAATAGTATCCTCACCTTTTGAAACGTCTTATGCACTTGTTGAACAGCAGATTCGTGTTCCGAGTACTCCTTGATGTCCAGTTTTAAAACCAACACATCCTCTTGACTGAGACCACCAACACCTAAAAGTGACGTTAACAAATCACAACAAAGATGCTAGCTATCAAAGTGGACAATATACACTACAGACGTTTTGGTCTTGTCAAAATTATAAGGTTGAAAAGTTCAACGGAAATACAAATATTAAAGTTCGACTATATGAAGAAAACACTTACGGATGCATTCCATTTTGACACGTTCGAGTTCTTTTTCCCGCCTTGCCGATAATACAAGACGACATCGTGCACGTGCCATTTCGTAGGCCAGAGCTTCGCCGATCCCACTGGATGCCCCAGTGATCCACACCACTTTCTCAGTCAAACACTCTAAACACAAAATCAGCTCATTTATGGTCTGATATACATATTGGATCTTCTTAAAATAATGTAGTATCACATTGTTCAACTTCGAACATGAAAACGATATTTAGATATCTTTTATGACATTTTCATGAAAAATATATTTTGAAAACAGTCTGCACACTTTTAGACGTATTTCCAGTGATTCACCTTCCACCTATCAATAACCATGTTACATTAAATTAAAAATATCTAAAAATGTATTCGTTGCATATACATATACAAACAATCAAGGCACCAGGTATATATACATGGATACATTTAGAATACAGAATGTTATAAAATACACTTTCCGTTGAATTGTTTCAATTCTCCCTACGAGGTACAAGAATGAAATAACCCGACAATAAAACGACTAAATGTTTCTAGACAATACGTAAATATTAAAGTGACATCCTCTAAATTTTGAGATCGGTTCACACATACCTGGAGATTTGCCGAATCTTTCCATCAGTTGAAGTAATATATCGCTGTCCCCTGACAAGATCATCAGGAGACAAAACGCAACGAACACTGCTACCAGTCCGTTCACGATATAGAGCCAGTCCATTACCAGATGGCCAGAATAACAGGTCGGATATGATGTAGTTGCAGCTAAGTTAGTGACGCTGAAATTCTGTGAAGATAAAAATCCCGATTAATCGATAATGTCCGTGCAGATAACGAGGAAAGAGCAGTTTATGTAAAGACTAAATGCACTCTGCGATTGGATTTCCTTATGGAGTCCTGCACATGAATTGTCTCGTTTTCGTTGTCTATAAAATATGTGCGTCATAATATCAGACACTGCTTTATCCGTTTCCGAGAAATGCAGAGATTATGCTAATGATTAAGACAATAAGAGGCTGATACTATACGATGTTAAAGTAGGCGCCTTTTGTTACATAAATACTTACCATGGGTGGTTTGTTACATAAATACTTGCCATGGGTGGTTTGTTACATATATACCTTACCATGGACGGTGTGTTACATATATACTTACCATTGGTGGTTTGTTACGTATATACTTACCATGGATGGTGTGTTACATATATAATTACCATGGATGGTGTGTTACATATATACTTACCATTGGTGGTTTGTTACGTATATACTTACCATGGATGGTGTGTTACATATATACTTACCATGGGTGGTTGGTTACATATATACTTACCATGGGTGGTGCGTTACATATATACTTACCATGGGTGGTTGGTTACATATATACTTACCATGGGTGGTGCGTTACATATATACTTACCATGGGTGGTTTGTTACATATATACTTACCATGGGTGTTGTGTTACATATATACTTACCATGGGTGGTTAGTTACATATATACTTACCATGGGTGGCTAGTTACATATTTTGGCGATTACCTTTCATTCACTTAATATATTTCTAGAATACACGATGTACACTGACTGATACAAACCATAATATATGACTGCACCGGTGTATAAACACTACCCCACTCAACCGTTCACTGAAGTTTGAATGTTTAATGTTAAACCTGACAGCTCACTGCTCGGTGCGAAAACTGATCGTATTAGAATAACGACATTCCCCTTACTGATTTGTTACCCGTCCCGTCACTGATTCACTCCACTGCTTCCCACAATCCTAATCTAATAGTACCTTATAGTACCGTCTTATTCATTATGTTTATATACATATTAAATGAACATTTATTTCGTCTGTCACGGGCATGCTTGATTGAACAAACTTATAGTTTATTTCAACCTTTAACATTATATACTGCATTTGAAAGAAAATCTCATCGACGGCTAAATATTTTAAGTGAAAAATGTAAGTGATAAGGGTTTTTAGCGAGGATTCCTTTTTTCTACCTATTATAATGACGATGACATGGAAATGTTACGCACTTCTCCTTAAGTAAGGTGCACTTTCTTTCATCTATAAATAATTTGTCGAATTGGATGAAAAAGCCCAGTTGATAGCCAAAAGGTTCACTATTAAGTTTTTAAATTTTAAGTTAAGGGCAAAACGTGAAGTAAAGGGCATATAGTGAAGAGTGGAGGATTTTTTTTTCAGGATTCCTGTTTTAAAGCTTTTCAAAGTAACGATGCCGTGAGAGTATACTCGTTTCTTTCAACCTTGATAATGACTTTTTATCAAAATTAAAATTGAAGAGAAAATGTTATATTGTATCGGCAGCTTAAGATCACATATAAGCAATAAGAAACAGTTTTTGAATCTGGATGCAAAGCTTACCTATATATTCTTTTATTATGAAGATTTGTGTATAGACAATAATTATCTTGAATTCTCATTCCACAGTCTCCGTTAATTCTCATTCCACAGTCTCCGTTAATTCTCATTTCACAGTCTCCGTTAATTCTCATTTCACAGTGTCCGTTAATTCTCATTTAACAGTCTCCGTTAATTCTCATTTCACAGTCTTCGTTAATTCTCATTTCACAGTCTCCGTTAATTGTCATTCCACAGTCTCCGTTAATTCTCATTCCACAGTCTCCGTTAATTCTCATTTCACAGTCTCCGTTAATTCTCATTTCACAGTCTCCGTTAATTCTCATTTAACAGTCTCCGTTAATTCTCATTTCACAGTCTCCGTTAATTCTCATTCCACAGTCTCTGTTAATTCTCATTTAACAGTCTCCGTTAATTCTCATTTCACAGTCTCCGTTAATTCTCATTTCACAGTCTCCGTTAATTCTCATTTAACAGTCTCCGTTAATTCTCATTTCACAGTCTCCGTTAATTCTCATTCCACAGTCTCCGTTAATTCTCATTTCACAGTCTCCGTTAATTCTCATTTCACAGTCTCCGTTAATTCTCACTCAACAGTCTCCGTTAATTCTCATTCCACAGTCTCTGTTAATTCTCATTTCACAGTCTCCGTTAATTCTCATTCCACAGTCTCCGTTAATTCTCATTTCACAGTCTCCGTTAATTGTCGTTCCACAGTCTCCGTTAATTCTCATTCCAGTCTTTGTTATGCCTTGATTGTAGCTTTGCTACCATTATTTTGACGTCTTTCATCTTTGGTTATACGGTACCATTTTTATGTTTTTAAATTGCTATCCCAATGAAGATATTTCTGATAGCTTGTCCACACCGAACATACTAAGAATGTTTAAACATGATAACAGTACAGCCGCATTAACCAGACGAGTGTGTTTAAGTCGGTGAACTTTGTATCTATTGTATAATTGTATCTCTTTGACGTTTACAAATCCAAGGAACTGCTTTAACAGGCGTAGTTGGTTGTCATGTTTTTTACAATAATTAAAAAAAACTCACCTCGAACTCGAATTTGAAGAATTTAAATTGCTTATTTTAATCTTTGATCCTTGCATTTTTGTAGAATATTAAAAAAAGCATCAATGAACACATCTTATTTGTGTACTGGCGCTGTGATGTATGTATGTTATACAATGTACATATATTTTATGAGGTCAAAATAAGTTGAAACATGCATTAAACATTTAAAAAACCCTGAAAAGTTAATATCTTATAAGTACTAACCGATATGATGTGACTGGTAACATTAGCCATCGTATGGGTAACACACCAGTATCAAACGGGTCCTGTGCCAGTTGTGAACGTCTGAGCTACTATATCTTGATATATAGGACGCGTGTTCTGGGTTAACAATATGACAGGTCAGTAAACAGAACTGTTCGTGTACTCCATAATTATATTTCCATGCCTGGTATTTCAACAATAATTTTTGTGGTTTCTCTCAAGTGCAAAACTTGATTATATTCTGAACGAATTTTGACTTGCTGTATTATTTTATTTTTCAGTGAATACAACATATTCCTTTCTATGTAATTATTACAGCCTGCATGGTATTTATCGCTTTTTATTAAGTGAAGATTAAAGTCAAGAACATATTATATACATATATTTTAATACCAGTAACAAGCATTATAATGATGATGCTGACTAAGAGTCATTCGGAAATAAGCGAGACTCTTAGCGGTCCTTTAGGTTAACAGCAAGCATAAATGTAATCTCAAATATCGCTTCCATTCATCATAGATTAATGATAAACAAAAAAAAACAAAAAAAACATCACTAATTAGTTAAATAGACTTCTTTTTCGAAAATACGTCAATTTTTCTTCATTTGAATGAATAAAGGCATTCGTTGAGCTGACAATGTGTTCACAACCAAACCTCCCCCGCCATCAATGTCCCTTTAAACCGCGGTTAGTGCCCGGCGTTCGTAGAAGTGGATGGAAGTAGATGACTGCTCGTGCACGTACGTGCTGACCACATCACACTTAAATATATCAACGTGGACAACATGTATTTGGACAAGAAAACAAATGACGTGATATTGTTGTGGTCCTGATGGTATATAAAAATAGCCGGGGAGTCTTTATTGGAATTCCCTTTGTGACGTTGATAAATGGCCTCACACAAATATGTTCCCGATGGTCTGTGATGTAATTAACCTACACAGGCTACCATTGGTTTAAAATACACTATCAACGCCAATTATAGTATAAACCGGCCTTCCTGTTGTAGTATAAACCGGCCTTCCTGTTGACTTTAGTGGCCGGGATGGGCTCTGACATTGCATATGTTTTATCTTGCCCCATCCTATAGGGGCTGGATATTCTTAGTATATTATCACGACGAGTGTGTTGAATATTATATAACAAGTCTCCATTAGATAACGTCCAGCGCACATCATCCGACTACAACAGTGGTCTGAGCTCGAATTAATAAAGTCATTACTTAATCACTATGACCGTTATAATACAGTTATTGGTGTACTGACTTGGGACTGGGAAGATCGAAATGTATCTTTGGAGGGTAGTTTCACCAAAATATTTCACTACTGTACTTGTATATATTTTTATATAGAGCATGTATATGCCTTGACATAAAATGCAACAGTTTATCCGGATTGTCGGATCACAGACTAATAAAGTTTCATTGTTTAATAGAATAGAATCGAATAGAATCGGCTGGCAACAACCAACCAAATAACACTTACTAATTGTCTACAACGATAAAAACTAACGTTAAAGGGGGGAAAAGGAAGGGGGGGAAATAACTAAAATATATATAAAACATCGGAGGTAAAACCAAATGTAGAAAGTTCACAACAATGATATTCGATCTAAGTTTTAAAAATATGAAACTGATGAGAAAAAAATCACTTTAAAAAAGATCAAGTGTAACTATGTTATAATCCAGGATAATAGGAGTGTTATCAAACTTCTACATATATTCCATTCGTTTTGTTATGGATAAATTTTAAATGTAAACCATCGTTCAAAACGAAAATGTTTAGGTGTATGTGTACTTAGTTTGCAAAATCTTATCACCTTTCTACATGCTATATAAATAGGGCATATGTTAACCATGCCTTGCAAGTAGTATGTCTATTTTTATACAAATACAACATATATCACATACATATCCTTCCTATATCCGTCTCCAATAATAAACTGGGTGAAAAAGTGAAGTCAACTTTGAATTTAAAAATTGACCAATATATAGAAAGTAACTGACCAAGGAGGGACTGGCTGGACTGGCCATAACCTATCAAACCTCAGTGTTATAAGGTAGTCGAACATCTCTCTCTTATTTACAAACTTTTTATCTCTTGTTTCCTGATGTTATCCTACTGGACCATGTATTTAACAGAAACTGAAGGTGATTCATTTTTTTCTTTGTGTAACCACACTATTTGCTGTGTCCTGTTCCTTTCAAAGGTACAGTGTATGGATCATATAGGTTATTTTAATTAAAAATAACGGAGTGAGTAATGGACTTGTCAAACCTTTATTGATATCTCTCGTTTAAAGCACTCTTATAACGGAAATTATCAGTTCTATTCTAGATATAAAAACTATAGTACTTCTCAATTACGTTTTCGAAATATAGCTAGCACTTTATATTAACCATATAAACCTTAATCTTACAATTCACTTTCATGAGGCAATCCTGTAATGTAGGCGACAAAACCGTTATTAGTGTTACACATCTGCGTTAAATTATTATTCCAGGACTACTTAAATTCAGAGGACAGGTAAATTCATAAACAAAGAATTGCATGTATGTGCATACGTTACATATCATGTCGGCAAACCTATGTTTGCATTAACGTTTATATTGTGGCGGTCTGTAGTACCAGCCAATAGGATAAAAACGAAACAACAGAGGACATGTATCACACTGACCTCTCGCGATCCTTGGAGTGCGTTCTCGGTTCACTTACTTTTTTCCTTCTTTAAAACATCCTAATGCGGTGTCCGATTACGTACTGATGTAACAAACATCTATGATGTGTATGTTGCAATATGTTTAACAAATCTGCTCGTTATTTATCTTATAATTCATCTTCTATTTTTCAATAAAATAATACAGCAACGCATAATCATATTTCATAGTATGAATTTTACAGAAAAAAAGTGGTTCATGTTCCCAAATTTGGTGTTGGTTGTTTTTCCGTATTGTCGTTTATTACAGGATAATGACCTTGTTTGCTATCGGTAAATTTGATATATTTTAATTCAGCTGGTTACGAATAGGTAAAAGATACAGTCATATTCATACACTCAGGGCTTTCACAAGACCCTAGAAGTATGTTTTTGACTCCAAAAAATGAGATTTGACTGTTGGGTATGAAAGGATGAGCCTAGTTGATATGTACTTTGACAACTTCAGACGTCAGGGCAAAGGTGTTCTAATTTCTGAAATTGCTGAATATATCAATACTGAGGTACATTTTACTGAAACAAGTCTATTTATTTGCTTAAAATTAAACTATTTTTAAAGATATTTACTATATGATATGAACTAGCATTGGTAGGGATGATAAACGGCGAGGATAGAATCCTTTTTATGAGTTTATCTTAATGTTAAATGGATCAGGTCTATCGAATTTAATGGAGTTTTACGTTCTGAAATAGTCCATGACAAAGAGACAGCAAAATGTAATTGCATCAAAATCCTTCAAGTTTGATTAAATCATTGTATGTTAATTGGAATATATTTATAGGAATCAAATACCACGAATTTGTAATGGTGGTGTAAACGGGTTCCCAAATGAACTCTGTGTATCAATAAAACATCTACTAAGATATCACCTTTGGGAAGTACATAGGGTGGTCTTTTATTGCATTTGGTCTCTTAAAACAGGCTTATTTACGTAAACAATAACGGTGATTTTTAAAAGTGGTTTCCCAATATAACACAGGTAGTATCTTAACAAAAGTGGTTTCTCGAGCAGCTCCGACTGTACGCGATATATGTAGGGCTCACTTTATATGATATCAATGTCTGTGTGATAATATAAGTACTGTAACTACATAATCGAGTTTTATATTTTCGGATCTCACTATTTCAACTTCAAGTTGGGAATACTTCCTAAAACGATTACTAAATAGATAAATTGTAATAAACACATGATGTTCAGAGTGAGTTGTCGGTAAGAACAGTTTACTTTCTCTCGTTTAACACTTTCCTATTGGCGATCTGTATAAAGAATGCTTTTGTAAGAAATGAAGGTATGACTTCATGGAATGCATTTTAACTACTACAAGGAAGTCAGAGCGATTTCACGGTTTACCTAACAAGCATTTACCTGGAAACCTTATAAAAGTAAAACCTTCTACTCAGAAAATGTAAATGAATTGACGCTGAATAACGCCGATTTATAAAGTTGTGCGAGTTGACCCTCAACCAAGCACCTATCTGTCAAAGCGTCCTTTTCTGGCAGTAGGCCAAGATATTGTACATGACATTTTATAAAGGAAACTATCATTTGAATTTGGAATGATCATGCTCACAAATAAAACTATTAAACAGGGTATTAAGGATTTATATATATATTAATTATAGAAATATAATTGTAAAACTTTAGTGTGTTCCTCCATGCATTTGGGAGTAAAAGTGACAGGAAAATAAAATATTTCAGGATGAAAACATCATACTTAGTCGTTCTATATACATCTATGACTTTCAAAAACATTCATATTTGTAAAACATAAAACAGTGAAGAACAAAAAACAAACATATACACCATAGAAATCAAGTACATGTACTTACCATTATAAGTGTCTGTTGTTGTCCGAGTAGCTGTGGCAGTAAGTGTTGAATGTACATAGCAACTCATCATTATATACAATAGCTTCGGTTGTGCGCTAAAAATAGTCTGAGGGGATTCAACCGAATCAGGGATGGGATGTTTTAATGGGTACAGCTGTCCCTAACCACAATACCAACAACTGAAAGTTATCTTCATTTTATAGGAAGTATTTTTTTTGGTAACTTTTGTCTTACAGTACGTGACTAGATGTGTGATTACAAATCGAGGTGTATTGTGAAATTCTTGTGTAATACTATCAATCAATATTAATCTATCAATCAATATACATGTAACTAAGCTCACCCGTCGTTAAGCTGCTGGTAGAACATAATATATATTGCGAACTAATTTCATCAGAATGGTGTGTTCTAGAACAAACGAGAAGATTGCTTTTCCTATTTTTGTGCACAAACTTCTTTCATCTTTGTCACTAATCTCGGTAATCCTTACAGCATATTAGTTCAAAGACAAGGCTGTTGATGTGGTAGCAGAGTAAACGCGGGCGGTTAGGTAAGGTTTAAATAAGGTAAATAGGAAACAGGTACAAACATTACAACAGGATTCAAGGACACCAGTCTTTTATGTTTTACACCGTTTTATCAACAGTGTGTTGGTTAGTGCACGTTTTAGTCCTGGTGTCCAGGGCAACTTGTATCGTACCTGCGAAGTGTTGATGAAATGTACTTTTTTCACGTTTCACCAAGTATGCTAAACTTATAAATCAAGATAAAAGTACATCTTTTTTGTTTTACTGAGTTGTGGAGTATTTAAGGAAAATGATTGTCGTGTGACGGATCATTAATTGTGTTTGATCAATGTAATGCCTAACGTAGCATGGTGTGTTTCACTTGACTGACTATATCCTAAACAGTTAGATATGGGTGGAAAATCTTCAACTTTTCTTCCCCATTTTTTTCTGAGATAGTTAAACATTCGCATGATCTATAACACCAGTTATCAACAATATATGTATTTAGATGGAAAAATAATATATTTAAATCAGCATTATAAACCAGGTGTAGTAAATTATCATAAGCCTGCTGTAGAAAGTTTCTATTTGACATAAATATCAGTCACCTGCAAAGTAAGAAAAGGATACGAGACATCATTTTCGTTAAAGTTCAGACCGATGAGTAACAACAAATAGTATAGACCTATGTGTGCTAAGAGTTCAATTTCGTACAGAAAATGACCTAGTTACTGTAATCATCCTCTACTATAGATAATGTATTGTCAGACCAAACAGTGTCCCCCTAGTGATGTGACCTAGTTACTGTTATCGTCCTCTACTATAGATAATGTATTGTCAGACCAAACAGTGTCCCCCTAGTGATGTGACCTAGTTACTGTAATCATCCTCTACTATAGATAATGAATTGTCAGACCAAACAGTGTCCCCCTAGTGATGTGACCTAGTTATGCATCGCGTACACCTTTGATCTCTATTGATCCATGAAAATCAATAGTATCGTCGAGTTCACATGGGTACGGAACATTAACATGTTATTGCTATCAACCCCTTACTAATTATAATGCATTTTCAGATCATATCTTTTCACTTAAACATATAGTTCTGCAGTGAGATACACCCTGTCCCTTAACAGATGCATCAAAATTTGATGTATGGACGAATAGCTCTTACACTATTTTAACGCATGAATGACAAAATTATTCATTTACCTGCCCTATACGCACGATATCTGCTGTGCTTCGGGTTCAACTTCCATATCACATATAACTTGCACCAGTCAAAATATTGTGATATGTTTGGGAAAATACCAACCAAGTACAACAGCAGCAACAGTGAACTGCAACAGACCCGAGGATACTCGCGAGGTTTAACAGCGTTTTGATACCAGATGTTGTCGGTGCAGATTTCACTTCCGGCATCAGGTTAACTTCTATTTTACCTCTTAACGAAGTCTCAAACATATCAAAAACTATCAATTTATTTTGATACATCCTTTCGTGAAGTTATCAATTATTCCCGTCAAAATGCACCGATTTAGCTGATTTTATAAAGAAAAAGAAAAAAGAAAAAAAGGGGACTGGTGAAAGGACATCTTCAAAAGGTCATCACTGTAAAGAAAGAACCGAGGAAATATCAAATTGTATTGCCATAAAATTTCAGTTATCAAGTTTATGAAAGAATAATTGATATTCAGTAGTTCTATTGACTTATTGCATAACTAAGTCAGATGGTAATATTATATATTGAAAAATATTTATCGGAATGTGCTCAAAGACAATATGAATTTCCAGCATTTTAATGTATATTTAATTTAAAGGATTTATAGATAAAAAAATGTATTCTGCTACAAGGTGTAAGGATTTGGAATTATGACAATTGGAATAAAATTTGTGTTGTATGTTTGTAAATAAAAACATAATAAGATGACAAGATCATCTTTGGTCCCAGGTGGAAATCGCACTTACGCTTATTATAACCTAAATCACTGTTTTGAAAATAAGTTTCTTATCTAAATAGCATGTAAATGAAAACAATGTTACAGTAATAATTGATGACATATACATTTATCTATTTTACCTCACAACTGAAACAAGAAAAAAATAAAAAAATAAAAGGAGATAACCCTAACACACCCCACATTTGTTATGTTTATAGTAGCAGTTTTACCTCAATCCAGTAGATAAACTATTTCAGGCTGTAATCTTTAGAGTAGCAGTTTTACCTTAATCCAGTAGATAAATTATATCAGGCTGTAATGGTTTTAGAAGCAGTTTTACCTTAATCCAGTAGATAAATGATATTAGGCTGTAATGTTTATAGAAGCAGTTTTACCTTAATTTAGTAGATAAACTATAAGGCTTTAATGTTTATAGTAGCAGTTTTACCTCAATTCAGTAGATAAACTATCCGGCTGTAATGTTTAGAGTAGCACTTTTACCTCAATCTTTTAGAACAACTATCAGGCTGTACTGTTTATAGTAGCACTGTTACCTCAATCTTTTAGAACAACAATCAGGCTGTACTGTTTATAGTAGCACTGTTTCCTCAATCTTTTAGAACAACTATCAGGCTGTACTGTTTATAGTAGCACTGTTACCTCAATCTTGTAGAATAACTATCAGGCTGTAATATTTATAGTAGCAGTTTTACCTCAATCTTGTAGAACAAATATCAGGCTGTAATGTTTAAAGTAGCAGTTTTACCTTAATTTAGTAGATCAACTTTCAGGCTGTAATGTTTATAGAAGCATTTTTACCTTAATTTAGTAGATAAACTGTAAGGCTGTAATGTTTATAGTAGCAGTTTTACCTTAATGTAGTAGATAAACTATCAGGCTATCAATTCATTCTTTGTATTTATAGTTGTATTACTTGACAAGTTAGTTGAAACTATTCTTGCACGATTTGTACCCGAGGTTGGCAAACATCGTGTCGCTGGAATTCATTCCAGCACAGTTTGCATGAAAATTTGTTGAAGAATAAATAATCTGTCGCATTCAGTCAAAATTGTAACGCATTAAAGGGTTTCACAGTCGTCTTTCCTTCTCGCTGTATTTACATATGTTGCAAAACTCTTTGACTTGGATTTTTTATTGTTTGACCTTTATTACCAATGAAGAGTCCTGAATGGACGAAATGGCTATGTGGTGTAGTAAAAAAATATCTTGTTTGGCTTCTGCATCGACAAAATAAATTTTAAATAGGTGCTGTATATACTTTGTATTTAATTGTTTCATATTTGCCTCTGATATGTAACTGTGTACGTACTGTAGGAGTTGATGACGTCTTTCGTGCTATTTTTAGTGCGGTTTCTATTGCTGCATTTCCTCTATAGACATTAACTTCCCATTTGTACCTGTTTGTCGCTGACATTATGGTTATTTTTAGTTTTTATCTACTTTATACATGTACCATACAAGGTAAAATTTGACCTCTTATTGACGTTTTAACAATCAATCATTTAGATAATAGATGCCCTATAATGTCAAGTCATATGACCCGAATTTGACATGCATTCATGCATTACCTGTGACCGAATGTTATCTTAACGTAATCATTCAATCTCACTATGGATGATGTGTTTATAAGGACTTGAACACCCCCGACATTTAACCGCTATTGTTTGTCACGATTTTATAGGACTTTGTTAATAGTGAGTTCAAAAACGTTCTGTGGTGCATTTTTGAAGACATTGGTATAATTATAAAACCTAGATATGTTGCGGATGTAAAACAAATATCAAATAAATATCGCCTGTTGACGTCATTCGTCTGTTATATCAATTTTCAAAGCATTTTTTCTGACGTGTCATGTCACGTTCACAGAAGCATATTCTCTTAATAGGTGTTTTTTTGTAAACGTTTTTTTTTTTTTAATTACAAAGCATAGATCGAATAGTTAAACACACACAAAAATTATATAATAAGTGTGAACATAGATTTTATCAGCTACTTTGATAACAAACCTAAATTTAATTGGTTTAGATGTATTGAATGCTTAAAAACATACCAGAAGTCTTGTACTTTACTGATGAAATAAAAAAAGTCAAATAATCGTTTCCATGCATGGAATTATGAGGAAAAGCTAGTTTGTGGGCACCCACTGTTTATTTTAATAACAAGGCATTATTTATAATTCCGTACTCAAGATGGCTTGTTAATGAGCTCTGATTAGCTGAGACATTGAATCTTGAACGGTTGAAATAGAGTATAGGTATACATGTATCCTACAGTTATACTTATCCTACAGTTATTTGCATTGTTACATTTGTGTTAGTTGTTATTTTTTTTTATACAGAGAGTACGATCTTGCGTGTAAGTAAGTTTTAAAATGGCATCTAGTTGGGTTGTAAGCTGATAAGATTCTATGAATGGGTACAGGACGAGTATGTGTTCACATATCTATCATAGGTTACACCTGCGCCTCGACCCGTTACGAAACTATTTTGTTTTATTTTGCGGACGACGACGAAATGAATCTTAAAAAAGTGGAGTCCAGTGTACAGAAATCGGTACTAAAATTGTCTGACATTACTTACTTGTCCTTTCACCTTCCTTACTTGCTTTACTTATGTATCTTGGGAAGGTTGGGTGTCGCATAAAGAACTTGGGTAATGTGCCCCACTGTATAGAGAGGAACGAGCCTTTGTTAATTGTTTATTCCTTGTTATTTCAAGTACATTCAACCAATTTAACAAG